GGTTCCTCTCCTTCTCTCGGAAGAACGGGTTTGTATTGACAGTCAAAGTTACAGGTTCGGGAGATCCAGAGACCCGCTGAGCAAGGAATAAACGGTTTCTCATCGCTAAGGGCAGCCATGTGTGTGCCGTCCTAGATTCTATTTATTGCTCAACATGTTCTGGGAAGCGTTTGCATTTGAAGTCAACCAGCCGAAAAATGTATTTTTTGCCATGGCCACTATGACGCATACCTCCTATGCAAATTGTCACTGGTTTCAGCACTTTGCTAGGGTGCTCTGAACGCACTGGCACTGCCATCGACTGAAGATGCATTTCGTTGGTCTAAGACAGGCATCCTGAGGATTTGTATGATGCCACCTTGTTCGTTGGCACCTTTACTCACATGGTTTGATATCGCCGCGTTTCTCCCTGAACCCTGGGGCGGCCTCTGGATGGCAGAGTGAAGCTATTGGGCCTGCGGAACTCATTTTTTGGGAACTAGGGAGTCTTGTGGAGAGTTGCTGTTTCTCCTTGTCCAGCAGAAATGTAGAAGCCCTTCAAGATGTCTACAATCCTAAAAAGTGTCCCTTTACTTCTGCGCAGAATGAACAGATACACTACGCCAATTCTCAACCCAGCTCCCTTGATTTGTTTGACCCCAAATTTAAGCAACCTGTTTCCATGGGGGCCTTGACCAGAGTCTCATGGAAGCTGTGCAGTTTGAATCACCGGGCACGTTTGAAGAGCTCCTGTCAATTCATTCGGGTTCGGCAGCTGCTCAGCCAGAACGAATGACCCCAATTGGCCAATTTGGCTATTCGCAAAGAAGCGAGCATCAGAAATCGGTGCACAGCTTTTCTTTGGAAATAAGGTCCGAAGGGTGTTGCGTGCAAGCTCATACGTGTACCCACTCTTCAGGCTAGGACTTTTTGGCAGAAGTGATCCTTGAGAGACAATCAGTTCAGGACGTGTGTTGTGGTTGATCGCTTGCATAATATGAGCATGTTCAGTTTAGGCCCGTTTTGAAGGCATCCAGTTCGATCCAAGCTACCGTTGGTAGATAGCTCAGCCAAGCATGGACCCACAGGAAACTCATCAGGGTCCATGCTGCTTCCGGGACTCAGGGCGGAGCCACAGATTCATGATTCAAGTCCTTTTCACATATTTGTCATATGTTTTGTTTTTCCATGGCTCACTAGTTGGACATTGCATCCTGCAGTGAAAAAGATGTCGACCATTCAGAACTTCAGGTTGAGCGCATACTCCGATTTTGGTGGCCAGATATTGCATGTAGAGCCTTTTTGTTTCGGGGTGATGCACAATGGCTGGAAGGCTGACTGAGCAGCGGACAATGCTTCGTGCGCGAGATGCGAACGGCCTGGCCAAGGTACTGATCAAACCCTTTCGCCAATGGCCTTTGGGCAAAACATAGATTCCCACTGGCGGGGGCACGGAAGAGCAGCGGTGAATCGAATCCAATTTGGAAGAGCAGCACTTCGCTCGATTTGAGAACCCTGGCTGCAAGGAGGATGGCACATGTTCCGCTTGTGTGATGGGTAGGGATCGCACTACGTTTGTTACTTGCTGATTCCTGAACCGGGCCATTTGTTGTAGCCGGAGGTTCTGCAATCACCTTGTTGTTGTCCTGATTTGATGGTGCTCGTCGTCATCGTCGCTTCCATTCGTGTCATTGTTCTGCCCTTGGATCAGGGAATACTTGCGCATCCTTTGAGCTCCTTTGCCGCCATTCAATTCATTGTCTCTTGTGGTTCGTCTTGGTCCTACAAGTGTCCCTTCAAATACTCCACTGTCTTTATATAGTGGCCAAAATCATGGCTTAGAAGTTACCTTATGCCCCTACGGGTTCTCTTTCCTTTTTCAAATCTCAGGTATCAACCAAGATGCAAACTGCAGCCATTGTCAAGCAGTTTTACAACATCATGCATGCTGTGCGTGTGTGTGGGTTATGCGCGTTTTTGACTGGCTGCTGGCTGCTTGAGCACCGAATCTGCCCTCGCCATCGGCTTGATGCGTGTCCAAACTGCGGCACTCTTTCGAGGACGAAATTCGCTGGGGCGCAAGTGGAACTTGATATAGACTGGCTGTGTTGCTAACCGCGACACCTGCCGAGTTACATGGCAATGTTGTCGAAGATGCAGAGCACTAACGTGACTTGTCCTGAGGAGCTGTAAAGCCGTTTGCAAGCAACACCAGTCAAGCCCATTGGCCGTACAGCATTGGATGCGCTGCAACCATCTCAGGCTAGACATTGGGGAGATCAGCCCCAAATTTGCAAGTTCCAGAACATATGTTCTTTCAAGAACTAACTGCGAGCCGAACTGGCGCCCAGGGTTTTAGAACCTGTGGGCTTCCGGCCCTTGTGTAATTAGGCCTTCTTGATCACAGGCGCATAGGCTGCTCGCCTGTTCTAGGTCCCTGCGCCCTGGATTTGGACCTGCACAGAGTTGAGCAACCGGGGTATGCGTCACTCTCAGCAACATTCCGGTCGGCTCGGCATCAGTTTTTCACCGCGTTGAATCCGGGAGACGGACCTGTGGTCAAAGACCTTTCTCATCACTCCGCGATGTGAATACAGCAGGCCCGTCTTCAATGGTCCAACGTGGATGGGAGTTCTGGGAGCAATGGATGTACACAGCCTATTAAATGTACTCCTGTCACCAAAAGTGTCATGATTGTGGGTTCACAAGCTGGATAATTGAATGACCGTGTGTTTCAAACAACATTGCACTGATCTGCCTATTTTAGGGCGCGCCCATTCCTATTCGGGGGTAAAACAAGCTCGCCAGGATCACGTATTCTTAGCAGGTTTTGGAGTTGTGACATGCGCCGCGATCTTTGCTCCTGAGCTCGCATCATCACTGCGCTTTGGATTTGGGGGGTGCAAGAAACGGTTTGGAAGGGGCCCGGGTCCCGGCAGGTTGAAATGCAAAGGGCTGACCACCGGCATTTCCCATGGCCTTTTGAAGCCTTTTTGGTGTTGCTTGCAAAAGGGGGGGGTCTCAACTTGTGGATTTACTCGGTGAAAGCTTTGAATACCTCAACACCCGATCGCCCCTCTAGGCACAGCCCTTTCCCGGGTCTGCTTCCACAGACACCGGAACACCATGGAAGGTGTCCGGGGAGTGGCGGGTCAACCTGAGTAGCCCGGGCCCGTTCGATTGCGCCCGCCAGATGCAGATCGAGTAGCCAAACCCAAGAGGAGGTTCTTGGCTCTTTCCTCATCCGGTTCCCTTATGGCACAACTTTAAACCATTTAAGTGCCGCGGAGATTATGGGCGCAACCAGTCCAGAAGTCCGTCCTGCGGGCGTCAACAGCTGTGAGGGGCCACCGCAGACGCTCTTCAGCTGACGTCCTGCATGAGCTGCGAGCGGGCGAAACTTGGAGTTTCAGCCAAAGTGCGGCTGAGATATTCAAAATCCCTTCTAGCGGGATGATAATTGTCCTTGGCAGGTCAGATGTGTTGTTTTGTTAAAGCCATTGTTTTGTGACTGGTGTTTGAATGGCAATTTCGCTGATTTGTGAAGCCACCTTGGACTCTGGCAGACTTGTTAGTCCCGCATTTATAGTTAGGTTGCGTCCAGCGGAAAAAAGGCACTCAACTGAGCGCTTGGTACTGTTTGTTTTGCTCCAAAACACACTCGACGGCAACTCTAAGGGCCAAAATTGGTGGACTTTGGGGAACTCTGAAACCATGCGCCATGATGATAAAGTAAAATTGCTTGTAGCTACTTGGCCCCTAGAATCTTCAAAACACGGAAGGGCAAGCAACCTTTCTTAAGTCTGCCTCAGCTTCCGCTTTCCTTTCCGCAAGAAATGGGCGGAGGGTGTTTCGTGAGGGTCCCACCAAATCGCTTTAAAGAGAAAGCACAGTTAAACGCCACCATTTGTTGGGTCCGCCCCCCATTTTCACATGATGGACGAGTTCTAAGAAACCAGCTGGGTGTCTGGCCAAAGTCCGGTCACTGCTGATGGAGGACGGAGGTAAGACTGCATGTGTGCCACCCCGCACTCCCTTCTTAACCTTGTGCTATCCGCGAAGACGATAGTAGGTAGCCAATGACACATATCTTGCATGACCCAGCTTGGTCAAACTGAGCACCAATGTTAAAAAGGGGGCATGGACAAGTCGGAGAAATATGGCGTGAATCCCACTCAAACGTCATGCAAGATTTGTTCCATCCACGGTATATACATGTAGCTGGTCTTTGTGCTTTATGTTCTATGACAGTATTCATATTTACTTGGGCTATCGGGCATTGTCCAAATGGGCTTACCCGTTTACCAGACAGAAGCCATCAAGCATGTACTGTGTCACACAAGGAAGTTACATGGAACAGTTCGGTGTAGGCAGTCTGAGGTATCCCCTTGTTCGAGTGCAGTTGGGGGCAGGACACATATTGGTTTAGTGCGTGGGGTGTCTTGGTTTGGTATTGGCCTAAGTGTAGTCGAGCATGAGCAGGGTTGGGGTCTGGACAAAAAAATACTCTATGTATGAATACTTAGTCGGGAGCACATCCCTTTACCCACAAATATTGTTTAGTTTCGCGTGTAAGTACCCTGTTCAAGAAGAGATTCAAGACAGTTCCCTTTGGTGCCTGTACGTAGAACGAAAGTCACGTTTTTCCTGGCTGTCTGGACCCGCCACTCATGTCAGTGGAGATCACTTGCGTGCTTTGAGACGTAGCTTTCTGAGGTGAAATCTGTCGCCCAGCGCTGCTGTTTTGTAGTCTCTAGTGCATCTAAATGAGGAGCCTACAAAAGGGCCGTGCCGTGTCTTCCTAAGAGTTTCTTGGGTGTCTACTGGTTGGCTGCAGTGGATGGGAACAACCCTAGGGCAGATAAAACGACGGAAGATTAGCAACAGAGCTTGCAGTTCTTCGCGGATTGACAACCTGGTTCATTGTTTGATCCCCAAAGCGTGGTCAGGTTTCCCCTCCAACTTAGGACCCCATGTGATTTCTGTTCTATCCAGCTCATCCGGCTAGTTCAGCGAGCCAGGCGCCTCCGAGCCGGTCGCCTAGTCGCCAAAGCCGCTGATTTTTTATTTTATTTTTTATCGGGGAGAAACTCATTTCCTGAGTTGCTGGACTTGAAACTTGTGGGGTTTGGACCATTCTAGTGGCTTAGACAAAAGTTTGGACCTTTCTTTGGCCAGTACAAATAGGAAGTGAGTAACAGGGCCCCGAATTTTGACCCTCCATTTGGAGGTTGATTTGCATTGACATGGTTTCAGCGAAGGCCTCATGGTTGGAGGACCTTCAGCAACACAATCACTTTTGGGGGGCAATCCGAGGTGGATGCGTCATTTACATTGAACCGAGTGAACCAGACAGCTGTGTGTGTGTGTGTGTGCGTGTGTTTCTTTGAGGGTACCCTTTAGCCTTTTTTGCCTTGGTTTAAAGGGAAGTCAAAAGGACAACAGTGATTTGTTCGGGGTACGGGTCCCCTGGCTCTCACACCCATATTCATATTCAAAGCGAGGTGCACCGGTGGTGCCTATCCCCGCACCGGCGCCTATGCCCTTGACGGTGCGCGCCCTCGTGTCACGAGTTGAAAGCCTTAAGCTCGCGTCCCGAGTTGGATGTCGTTTGTGGAAGTTCGCTCCAAGCTTTTTGGGGAGACCCTTTTGTACCAAGGAACCCGTTGGGAGGAATCCCGGAATCAGCTGTTTCGAGAACCCCCGGCTTGTAGTTGTGACACAAATGATATCAATATGTTTTGGGCTCGCACCAAGAATCTAGTTGCAAAGATTGCGCTCCATTCAAGTCTCTGGGCAGCTTCTGCCAACATCCGAGATCCAGACATCCACGTCATTCGCCAATGGATGCGTTCACCCACATTGCCATTGTTTTTGCAAATCACCGAGGTTGAATTGCCATTACCAGCATGCAGGCAGTCACATTGAGCAGGGCCAAGCAAGTTGCGCACGCATGCATATCATATAATTACGCCAAATCGGCCTACCATTTTGTAGGCCTTCGGCCTCGAACATGCCTTTCCTGTCGATGCAGTGCCAATGCAGGCACCCATCCGCAAGCTTTCAAGCCTGACAGTCGTCAGCCAGCACCGCACGAGGAAGCCTCGAGCATGGGATGATTTCTGCCGCCGCCCCCCATGCCGCTGTGGCTGCCCATCGGGCCGCTCCAATTCGGCCAACTTCGGTCGCTGGGGCGCCGGGCGCCATCGCTCCATGCACCGTTCGGCCAGTGCTGGTGGCACCTTGGCGGAAGCTTGGCGCCCCGGGAGGGCTTGATGCAGTTTCAGTTCTTAAGCAGGATTGTTTCTTCTGTTTTCTGGATTTCTGGAAGCGCTGGACATGGGGAAGTTGTTTCTGTTTTTATTTTAACTCAGTGTGATTGAGAGTGATTCTAATCATACATCAACAGCTGCAGAGCGAGCAGTAGTGATCGTAATAGCTCACAGCAGGTGTGACGCACAAGTGCGCTTTGCGGGATGTTGTGAAATCTTTGCTAGAGCTGCGCATTGCAACCATGCTTGCCAAAGGGATGAGAAAGACGTTGCACTTGCATAGCATTGCCAAAGTTGCCGAGCTTCTTGTCCACAACTTGGCCTGATAGGCTCGCTGTATCTCGCTGTTCAGGGGATGTGTTGACAGCATAGCGAGGATGCCGGAGTTGTATCATGCAGCACTTCCAGCAGTGAAACTTAAGGGTTCCAGCCTTGTGTGTTTATGGTCGTACTGTTCCCAAAGTCAGGTATTTTGCAGGGTGTAGTTTCACGGAAGAAGGCCTAGGGTGGTATGATTATGACATTATTATATATGCAAAATCCGGGGTTTGGCCTTAAGTTGTACGACTCCGGAGTCCTTGGGGAGTCGCACGGAGAGGACCCAGCACTGCAGATCTGGAGTTGCAACTAACTCTGGTTCTAGTTGCTGCAGTGGGTTATCTTGTTTCACGGCAGCTTGTCCCTGTAGCAGACCAATGTTTTGTATGAGGACACTGACCAGCATCTTTCCAGCCAAATGATGTCTTTAATGCAAAAGGCAAAAGAAATCAACCAAACTACCGCACCCTGCTGCCACGTGGCAACTGCGATTCCGTGTCCATGTTAAAGAAGGCGGAGCAGACATACCTTGCACGACCCAACTTGAGAACATAATCTCTTCCCCCTAGTAATAAATACGGGCCCAGGATTTTCATTTTTATTAATTGGGGTCATTCATTGATAGGGGGAAGAGATTACTTGACCAGCAGCTTTCAGACATGAATTTCCATGCGTGCGCGTGCTTTCCGATGGGTGCAGCTGTACCCTGAGATCCCGGTTTCCCACTTGGAACTTGCGAACCCTTCATTTGCCTCCCAAACACCTTGGGTGTGCCAACTCTTTTGAACAGAGTGGTAGTATTCACACATTTGAAGCCATCACGCCAGGCATTCAAATGCCTTGGCCAGATTGAGCTCCTAGCTGATTTCTAGAAAAGGACCCTTCTGTTACCTTGGGTTCAAAAAAGAACACACACTTTGGTTACGCCTCCCGAGAGAGGATGCAGTCACGTTGCTTGTCGTACTCCTTGTGCATGATATCGTCCGGCGCTTAGTGGGAGAGAAACAAAGAGGAAACAGACAGCTCCTTTTCAGGGACCAAAGGGAAAGGAAAAACCTCACGTGCAGGTACGTTTTCACAGGGTCAGGGGGGTGTCTTCGTTGGCCACCGACCCCCCTGACCCCCGGTGGCCCCCTGCATTGAAATTTCGGATGAAACAATCTCTTGGACCTCAGAGTGTGCACACACACACATGGGGATTGCACGTGTTTTTTTTGTTGGTTGGTGGCCAACCCTCCCTCACACTGTTGCAACATGGTGCCCGACAGTGGTCCCTGTAAGAGGATTTTTTACGCACCCTCCTACAGATGCTAATATTTTAAGATATGGGTGTGGGAGAACGGATACATCTGGCCTCCAAGGATGTTTGACTCGCTGCACGGGGTCCTGATTTTCTCCTTTATCAGGGGGAACCGGTCAAGTGTGGAATTTGGGACGCTAACTGCAGGAAACGTTCTGACCGGATCTGCTTCTAACTGTGGAATAGAGTTTTGGAAACGAAAACTGTTTCTAAGTGAGAGTCCGTCACAATACTTTTCCTATAGGCTTCTGCTTTTTCAAGCAATCATTATGCTCCTTTGCCTTCAATTTGCCTTCAAGGGCCACTTTCGCTTCAAATTCACCCAGTATGGATTCCAGTTGGAGCATCAGACGGCTGGGTGGGCGGCCTTTGTTCTGCAAGGCACTGTGGCTGCGCCATCGCACCCGGCGGCGGGCAGAGGCGAATGGGTGTGGTGAGAGTCTGTGGTAGAAGATCTGGTTCTTCGGCCACGTCTTTAGGTCGTCAAGCGAAACCAGAGTATGTTCCCCCCCCCCGTTGAGAGAGTTCCGACAAACCCATGCTTGACGGGTTTGAAAGGGCAAACAAAGCCAACGCTTTGTCCGAAATGGGCCGTTACTTTTCGGCCGACTGCAAACTGTTTGCTTGTGGTACCTCCATCCTGAATGCAATGATGCCTCTTTAAAACATTGTCCAGACACCCAGTAGTGCACTTGGTAAGTTTCGGCAAAGGAATTTTAAGTCTAGCTTGATCAGCCTAATCCCCAATATTCTCGCCTTGCGAATTGTGCGGTTTCCGGATCGGACTATGCGCTTCACGGATAACGGCGGCCATGGGTTGCAAGGGTTTTCACTACCTCAGCGTAAGGTTTCGAATCGCACTGTGCAGCGCGGATTACGGGTTAAGAAGATTACCGTGTAGACCGGATTACGCATTGTGACTAGGCCTTAAGGGATCTCGATCAGGCTACATAGTTAGTGCAAGTGACAGTGAGGGCTTAGCCCGTCAAAGGAGCCCTGTGGGGAATATCAAAAACATCCTGACATGAACCAGTTTCCTGACCCTGGTCTCATGTAGGCACGCCTTGAAAGGGGGTCGAAAAGGGCGCTCTTGACTATGACACCGATATGACCGGCATGAAGTCTTGGCACCCAGAACGGCCTTTGATCCACGGTTCAAATGCAAATTTGGCCCTCCTATTTCAGTTCGACAGGCGGCCTTTTCTTCGAGTTCCATTGGGTCTAAACGGGTCAACAAGTAGTGGGAGGTCCAAAGAATTCGAGGGCCAAGCAGAGAAACCGAAAAAAAATCGGATTTCCCGCTCGTTTTTCCACAGAGGTCAAGGGGATCCAAAGGTGGCAGGCTCGGCCCGAGGCAGATGTCCAGAAGCGGTGGTCAAAGTTGCGGCGCCTCGGGCTGTAGCTCCGCACCCCGAAAGATCGCTCCCCTGGCATCAGCTTCGGATGCTGAAAATCAGAGGGACCCCCCCAAAACAAAAAAAAACAAAGCAGGCATTTTTCGCACTAAAAGAGGAAGCATGGTTTTCCGGGCAAATCCCAGATTATCATTACTGGTACCCCCCCCCTCCGCCCCACAAAGAAGATCATAGGGCTTTCCACGGCCACAGCAGGCTGCATATGGCTGCATAAGGCCACCCCAGCTAGGAGAAGCTGGAGCAAGTGAGCGGACCGATCTGTTTTTTTTGACTTTCCGTATCCTTGGATGTTGCTTCTTTGCTCCAACACATCTTGGTCTTGAGCACCGATTTGTGTTTGTCCTTGTGGTTCTGCAAGGGGGCTGCAATTCGGGGTTTCATCGCTTTCGGCGTTTTGCCCGTGAGTCATCTCATCTTGTAAAGAGTGGCATTCTTTGGAGAAGCCCTTCTCAAGGTTCGTGCGGCAAAAGCATGGTCAGCAAAACCGGGTGAGCACCAATTGTTGAAGGGCCGGAGGAGTCAAACAAAGCTTTTGTGCATGTTAACAGCTCGTGATGTCTTTACCCAGCGCAAAAACAAGTTGAAGTACAAAACGAGAGAACCGCGCCTAATTGCTGTGCGTGTGTACTTGATTTCAGATGTGGGCGGGTAGGGACGTTCCCAACAGTGGCTCGAACTAGGGATGCTCCAGCTGCCATGCATGGAAGACATGTCTTGCGACATACTGGGACAGACGTGATCCGGATCGCTCTTCAGACCTCAGGTCTGAAATCTTCGAGACGCCATCCGGAGAGGACGGGCCGGATTCCATGTGAAGAGTTGTTTGCATTTCGGCCATGGGGTAGGGCTTTCAAGTTTATTTTTGGCAAAGTAGCAATAGGCAAACTCTCATGGATAGCTATCAATCAGCGCTGCGGGTCTGGGGAGCGACAAGGAACAACCAGAGCTCGAGTTGCCCTAAACCGAGAAGTGTACGGCGGCGTCTCAAAAATAGGCTCATGTTCAGGTGATTTGCTTCGTTGGCGTTTCTCTTCACATTATCCCGGACGGGGTTTCCCATTTTGGGACATGCTTCGGGAACTTCGGCAGCAAGTTCGATGCCCATCTCCGTCCGCGTGGTGACTGTACATGCTGGGCGGCGGCCATATAGCCATGAACATGAATTAAAATGGGGAACACCCTGAAAAGCGGTTGGTAGACCTAGGTGACTTGCAAGTCCATACACATAAGTCCGCCAGCTTTTTTT